AGAGGGAAGAAGAGGAGGAAAGGAAAGAAGGAAGGGGAGAGAGGAGGGGAGGAAGGAAGAAGAAGAGAAGGAAGGAGAGAGGGACGGAGAGGGGGAAGAAGTAGGGACAGAGGAAGGAGAGGAAGGAGGGAGGAAGGAAGGAGGTCAGGGAGGAGGAGGAAAGGAAGAAAGGGGAGAGAGGAGGAGGAAGGAAGGACAGAGGAAGGAGAGAAAAGGGAAGGAGGAAGAGGAAGGAAAGAGAGAGTGGGGAGGGGGAAAAGACGGAGAAAGAAGAGGAAGGAGGAGGAGGAAGAAAGGAAGGGAAGAGAGAGAGGGTGTAGGAAGGAGAAAGAGAAGCAGAAGGAAGGAAGAAGAAGGAGCCCCCCCTCTGCCGCAATTGTACCTTCTCCAAGAGGGTGTTGCAAACCAGCTGGAGCTTTTCTGGGGTGATATCCACGGGGACATCAAACGGGGCCCCCAGAACCTCCCCGGCTTCATCTTTGAACTGGATCAGGAGCCGCTCAACGTCCGCCGTCATTTTAAAACTGTAGTCGGCTCTTTGCCCTCTGGCCTAGAAAACAAAGGAGTACAACCAAAACTCAAAGGAGCCCCACCAGCATCTACGACCCCCCCTCCAAGCTCTCTTTGGGCACCCCCTTCTCCACATGAACACCCCACTTTCCCCATCACAGACGTTCAGAAAACTCTCATGAGCTGCTAGAAGCCAGAACAGGGAGAGATTATTAGAACACCTGCTTTCTAGGATGAGGTCAGAAACATGAATGTATATGTCAAAAAGAAGTCAAGATGGAGGCAAGGAGGTATTTTAAAAGAGGCATCGCTCCTGTCTTGACTTTCTGGTTCTTCCCTCCCACTCCAAGAGATGACCAACCTGGGGTAATAAGGCTTGGAAGGGACCTTAGAGGTCTTGTAGTCCAACCCCCGGCTCAAGCAGGAGTCTTTACACTATTTTGGACAAACTGGCTGTCCAATCTCTTCTTCAAAACCTCCAATGAGGGAGCACCCACAACTTTTGGAGGGAAGCAGTTCTATTGGTTAGAAACAGAAGAACAGAGTTGGAAGGGACCTTATAGGTCATCTAGTCCAACCCCCTGCCCTATACCATTTCTGACAAATGGCAGTCCAATCTCTTCTTGAAAGTATCAAGTGATGGCACTCCCACAACTTCTGAAGGCAACTTCTGTTCCATCGGTTGATTGTTCTCACTGTCAGAAAGTTTCTCCTTATTTCCAGGTCTCTCCTTGGTCAGTTTCCATCCATGAGGTACCTGGCATTCAGGTACCTTGAAGATCAGTTTGACCCCTTCCTCCTCTCTGTAGCAGCCCCTCAAATATTGGAAGGCTGCTCTCCTGTCTCCCCTGGTCCTTCTCTTCCCTAGACTAGCCAGGCCCAGTTCCTGCAACCGTTCTTCATATGTTTTAGCCTCCAGTCCCCTCATCCTCCTGGTTGCTCTTCTCTGCACTTTTTCTAGAGTCTCAACAATCTTTTTTTACAGTGTGGTGACCAAAACTGCATGCATGCAATTAACTAATGTTAATTGTCCTTGCTCTTAGAAAGTTTCAAGAGGCACCTGGTTTTTCTTTGAAGACGTTTCGATTCTCATCCAAGAAGCTTCTTCAAACTCTGACTTCGCCTTCAAAGAAAAACCAAGAAAGTCCAAGCTGCCTCTTGAAAAAGCACCTTTGATGACGGGAGAATCTCCATAAGACACTTTCACTTCTGCATTTTCTATTTATTATTATACTTGTTATACTTGGAACAGTTTCCATCCTGCTAAAAGAGACCTTGTACACCACCCAACGCCCGGATCTGCTTATCCCCAGGTCCTTGGGAAGGGCTCCATAGGGGGACTAAAATGCCAAATCCAGTCTCAACATCTATCATCCTCATCATAATAAATTACCCTCAGTCCATTGCAAAAGGCAGCTTGACTTGAAATAACTCTGCAACAAGACCTATACATTATTAACCAAGAACGTCCGCCTATTCCAGGTCCTTGAGAAGGACTCGATAGGGGGATTTTAAAAAATGCCAAATCCAGTCTGAACACCTGGTTGCTGGGCGAGAACCCCTTGAGCACCATCGGCGTTGACAAAATCCCTGTCCGTCAATTGCAAAAGGCAGTTTTGCCACGAAACTTTGAATGTTATTAAACAAGAACATCTGGGAAAGGACTCCATGAGGGGATAAAAATGCAAAATCCAGCCTGACTGGGCGACCAAGCACGACCAGGATGAGATATAAGGGGGAAACCCTGAACAGGGGGGAGCGGGTCAGACTAGAAGACCTCTACGGTCCCTTCCAACTCTTCCTATTGTGTTATTGCTTGGGAACGTTGTTCTTTCTCCGCTCCCACCCCCAGGGCCCTATGTCTCCACCCCAGCCCCCACTTTCCAAAATATGGGGTGCTGCTGCCTTACCTCCCGCTCCCAACTTGGCAAAAAAAAAGTAACCCCTCCAAACCTGCAGCCGGACGTTTCTGCTCCAACTTGCCTCCACGTGGGAAAGGAGGCTGTACGTCATCATTCCGCGACAAGGCACAGTTTCTGACTCGGCTGCCACCTGCTGGAGGAAGCGGGGATCCTCCGCCAGAAGTTTATTTATTTGTCAAGTATTAGATAACAGATATAAATATGAAAATGGTGACGAATATGTGAAATGGATACAAATAAAAAAAGAAACAATAGGACAGGGACGGTAGGCACGTTGGTGTGCTTATGCACGCTCCCTACTATAATTAATATAATATAATATATAATATAATATATATTATAATAAATATTATAATATAAT